ATGTAAGAAACTAGAGAATTCTGTATTGTCAAACCTCAAACACCCTCTCTATACGCGGCTCTCTCCTTGCATTTCATCTGGTAGAACTAGAAGCAACTATAAGAGGCTTTATGCTAGGGCTACCAAGTACAAAAACACCACACAAACCCTTATTTGGCACAGCTGTTATGTGATGAGAAATCCGTTAGGTATGACACGATCAAGTTACTGCGGCACTCTAACAAACAAATAGTTCCCATTAGCTTTTGTTTTCCTTTCTGTGTTACTATTATATTGTTGTTCACATCTTCTATTACACACTAATTTTATATTTCATATTCCTGTGGTGCATTGTTTAAAATGTGAATGCAATGCTGTTCTTTTTTCTTTTCTTTTTCTTTTTGGTTGTTGCTTTTTGATTTTAAAATCTTATAAAATTTATGAGGTAATTAGATGCAATATTGTAATGCACCCTGAAAATTCCATACCTGTACCATAAATACTGTTTGGAATAAAGCTATTATTAATATTATTCATAGTGCGTTGAAATTCCCCTATAAATCGAGAGTATTTTGCGCAAGTGGTATTTGATTTTATGCTAATAGGGGATAATCATTTCTCTGAATGAACTAGATGGTATGATTTATGAATTAAAAGTTGATATGACTAACTAAGAGTTGATTAGATTGTGCGAAATAAATAGCTGTTATGACAACTCTTCAACAAATTGTTATAACTTATTCTTTTTTGTAATTAATTAATAGTGTCCTCTGAAGAGGTGGTTGGTTTAGTTGAGGAGCTTCCGTCGTCCCCCAACCACCTCCAGCTGGACAACATCCCCTTTCAGCGCAGTTCTTAGTGTAAAGTGAACTGATTTAAATTTTCCATGAGTGATAGAATTGCGTCTCCCAGCAACCATCTTCATGACATCTACATTGATCATTTTCTATTGACTTGGATTTTAAACTTTGAAAACCCCAAACAATTTGCCTATAGACAGGGTAGGAGCACTTTAGACGCTGCAGCTGTCTTACGCAACAACATCGTCTCATCATTAGATAAAGGTGCCATATACGTCCGCTGCACGTTTCTTGACTTCACTTCTGCTTTCGACGCTGTACCTAGATGTCTCTTGCTAAATAATCTCTCTTTGACAAAAACTGAGTCCTGGGTCACTAACTGGTTGCATTCCTACTTCTCTAACAGAAAGCAGTACACCGTATACAAAGGTAAGTCCTTCTCTGCTGTACTCACTGAAGCCGGAGTCCTCCAAGGTACTGTACTCTCCCCACTTCTCTTTACTTTCTTTCTTTCTACATGTCTTAACATCTTCAAATGACATTAATTTTGTCAAATATGCTGACGATCTGACTATATCTTTGCCTGTCAAATGTCAAAGTGACTGCTCTAAATTAAATGGCTTTCTGTCAGAAATCAGCCAGTGGTCCAAGGAAAACGGTCTCACCCTAAACCCCTCCAAATGCCAAACAGTCAATTTCACCTTTAGGCATAAATACAACCTAAACAAACTGGTTGGCTCTCACGAGGTGTGCAACATAGATAGCACTGAAATAGAAACCAAGTCGGAAATTAAATACCTAGGCGTCATTCTATCTGCTGATCTCTCCTGGTCGTCTCATATCTTGGTGATTTCCAAGAAAATATTCCGTCTTACCTTCTACATCAAGAAGTTAAAACATTCTGGTATAACTCAACCCTTACTCTTACATGTCGTTAATTCTCGCATTCTGCCTATTATTCTTTATTGTTCCCTCTTAGTTTTTCCAAGGTTACTGAAGAAAGACTATAACATATTACGCAGGATGTTTTCAAAGATTGTCAGCGATGTGTCACTTAACCAGCTTGTTAATATTCTGGTCGACATGCAGGCACTTGGACTCATGTGAATGAAAAATGGGCCAAATCCATTTTATCTAACTCACACCACCCTCTTCACTCACAACTCTCCCTTTGTATCTCATCAGACGGAACCAGAAGCCTATACAGAAAACTATATGCTCGCACCAGCAAGTACAAAAACTCAACCATACCCTACTTGGCTCGTGTTCTGTGCGATAAAGAAAGCATTAGGCGTGACACTCATAATTCATTAAATAGTCAGTAGAATAACTGGATCTCGTCTTTCCAACTCATATCATTTATAGGTACAATATTTTCTTTCTTTCTTTTCCTTTTCTCTCTCTTTTTTTCCGTTATGTTCTGCTTTGTTCCTTTCTTCCGCTTACGCTAGTAAATATGACAGTACCTACTTTTCTAACATCTTCAAACACTGTTCAGCGTTGGCTTTTCTACCGACATGCCAATGTGTTGTTGTCATAACGAACTGAGATTTCTCTAATCTATGTAGAATTCTATTTATTGATAATGTACTAACTGGATGCAATACTGTAGTGAACGAAATGCTGAGAATTCCATTCTGTATCACATGTACTGTTTTGGAATAAAGCAAATTATTATTATTAATATTATTAACTTTCTGCATGACTGGTGATAGAATTGCGTGCGTCTCCCGGTAACTATCTTCACGAATGTATTGGTCACTTTCTATTGATTTGGATTGTAAACTTTCTCGTCACCTGGTTTACTTTTTATTAGTTGGTGTATTTCATCTATATTAACGTGTTTGTTAATTGCATATTCGTTTGAATTCCAGGCTTCTAAAAATTCCCTGACTACACTTTTGTTGGTGTTTCCTCTGTCTAAAAATTCGACATTATCCCAGTTATCAAACTGATGTCCATAATTATGTATATATGCATTGATATGAAAAAGGAATGTATATCATGTCTTTTCACAGCTGATTTGTGTTTCTGGATTCTGATTCTAACGGAACGGCCACTTCCATTACCGAAGTAATGTCTGTCGCAGTTCATACAGTTTATTTTTTTTATTTATTTATGTAAAACTTGGGCACTGTGGTGGTAGTAAGCAATTGCATATTAGTTTGTTTATTAGATGGATGTATCACACACAGTCAATGAGTGAGTGAAACAGTATTAGTATTTACTGGATGACAAAGTTGTTTGGAACACAGTTCATCATTATTGCTGTTCATAATTATACACATCACCAATTATAATCACACGACTTCGAAACTTGAGTCTGATAGTTTCCTTTGTCCTCTCCTATTTGTCATCGTCATTGGGGTAGTAGAATTTTCCAGATATCTGGCTGGACAGGTTTTGGATCATTCCTATTACACGTGTTGATTCTCAGTTGATTCGAACATTGGAAATGCTACGAGGTGGAATGAAGGCATTCGAAGTGTTAACATTGTTAGACCCTGTTCTACTAGTTTGACTTGTGTATTTGACCTGAAGATCATTGCAGCAGCAGGGTGTCAGATAAACTAAATTGTTTTGTTTTAGAGGCTCCACTGGCAGGATTGATCGTTTAATCGACAAAGCCTTTTTGTGACTGAGTTTGTGGTTGGTTTGAATGCCTTTTTTATTAACTCAAAGATGGAGGCAATTCAATTCACTTATGAATTGGAAAGTCAGGAAGCTGGGGAGCTTCCAATGTTAGATTGCAGTGTAAAAAGGAAAGAAGATGTGAAGTTAAACACACTAGTGTGTGTTTGCAGAAAACCCACACATTCAAACAGATATTTGGACTTCCGATCATCGCATACAATCTATGTCAGTAAAAATAATTTTGGTGAAGTGTTTAAATAACAACACAGCACAAAATCTAAGTAGTACCAAGGAAAATCTAAGACGGGAAGTGAGACATATAACAGAAGCCTTGAAACTTAATAATTACCCTAATAAATTAGTCAGGAAATATGTAGGGAAATGTGAAAATAAAATAAATAATGATAGTAGTGATAGTGATAATAATCATAATATGAATGACGACACCAACAATAAGGAATCTAAATCATCAGTAGTAATTCCATACAAGGAAGAAACCTCGGAAACCACCCACCTTACGCAGAATTCTTAACAAGGCAGACAGGAATAAAAGTGGCTGGAATTCAAACCAACCACAAATTCAATCAGAAGCAAGCTTTGTCGGTTAAAGGATCAATCCTGTGGAGCCTTTAAAACAAAACAATTCAGTTTATCTAATACCCTGTCTGCTGGAATGATTGTCAGGTCAAATACATAGGTCAAACTAGTAGAACAGGGTCAGTGAGTCAGACTAGCCGAGCATAAAAACCTACTAGCAAAATCTAGATTGGTTGACCCGAATAAGGTAAAAAATCTACAGAATAGTTCAGCTATCTCAAGCAATACATGCAGTCACACACAACCGTACAATAGGCTGGATGGGATAGGATGACAGTTTTAAAATCGAATGCCACAGCTGGGTAGAGGGAGGGAAAGATTGATAACAACGGAAGCTTTGTTCATCGAATCAACTGAGGGGAGTACGTGTAATAGGAATGATTCAACACCTGTTCAGCGAGATATCTGGAAAATTCTTCTACCCCGTGTACGCACCCACCACAGGCGGTTCGAAACCAGGATCTGCTGGTTACAAGGCGAGCGACCTGGTAGACCATCGAGCCACTCGTCAGTGCATGAATTCTAACTTATGCCATTGGATAGGGTCCCAGTGGCTGAATGGTAGCTTGCGTTGTAACCTGAAGATCCTGAGTTCTAAACCTGGAGGCTGCTCACTGATGAAGAGTCACAAACTAGGACCCTAACCAGTACTCCCTGGTTGGTTTTCCAGTGGTTCTCTTCAACCAATGTCAGCTGGTCATGATGAAATCCTCTAATCCCTACAAACCAAAACTTGAATAAAAAATGATTTCGATGTGTGGATAGAGCACCTTTTGAGCATCAAAACACGGTCATTTGGAAGTAAGTGTTTACCATTTTTTCTTTACATTTGCCAATTTATATATATTAATGAGATATTTTTAGCAGGTTTATACTTTTATACACACTTAAATATATACATGCTTTCCAGAGTTCCTTATATTTCATTGATTTTTTACTATTATCCTGAATTAAAATCAATTCTACTCTACTCTTTATATTCAAGAGAACATGAAGGCTGATCAACCGTTTATCTCAGATATCCCCTTGCCAAGTGAAGATGATCCCGATCTGTTTGATGCAAACTGTGATCCTGCCAATCCGAAAACGCTGACATTTGACGAAGTTCGACTGGCTAGAGAGCGTATCAAGGATGGGATAATTTATACTAATTGTAAGGTAAGAGACAAAAAGAATTTTTGTGAAAAGAATATTTGCATGGAGGATTTCATCATGAGCTGACATCAGTTAGAGAACCACTGGAAAACCAACAAGGGAGTACTGGACAGTTGTTTCGTCCTAGTTTGGGACTCTTCAGCAGTACGTGCCACCGGGATTCGAACCCAGGACCTTCTGGTTACAAGGCGAGCTCGTAGACCATTGAGCCACTGGGACCCGATCCAATGGTCCTTGAATTCTAACTTCTGCCAATTGAAGATGAGGCAGTAACTCATCTAGGAAGACATTGCGAAATGGTCGCGCTATGTCATGCGTGAATTGGCAGAAGTTAGAATTCGTGGGCCATCGGATCGGGTCCCAGTGGCTCAGTGGTCTACGAGCTCGCTAGCCCTGTAACCAGAAGGTCCTGTGTTCGAATCCCGGTGGGCGCGTACTGCTGAAGAGTCCCAAACTAGTTGGACGAAACAAATGTCCAGTACTCCCAGCTGGTTTTCCAGTGGTTCTCTAACTGATGTCAGCTCATGATGAAATCCTCCATGCAATTAAACAAAATCCCTAGCAAACCAATACTTGAAAAGAATGTGTTGTAATATTCCTTCTAATATACACCATATACACCACACACCCTGCTGTTGTTGTTCTTGCCGTTTTTGTTGTAGAAATCTCGTCTGTCTTCTGAATATGGCATGGAGATTTACTTTAAAGAGGAGTTTTTACAAGTCACTGGAAGGTAAGTGGTATATTTATAACACACACACTCACACACACACACACCATTTTTCTAAAAAATTTCAATAAATATTTTTACTCCTTTTGCCAGTTTCAAAGAAAGAGGCGCTCGTAATGTTCTACTTCAGTTAACACCTGTGAGTAATTTTCTGCTTCTGTTTTGTTTTGTTTTTTCCAGAGTGTATCCATTTTTAAAAGTATTGATTTTTTTCGTTGTTGTAGGGATTTTTGTTTGATGATTGGATGGGATGAAGGATTTCATTATTGATCAGGGAAAATCAATCGAAGAGGCTATAAAGTTACATGTATTGAGATGGCTAGGTCACGTGCTGCGCATGCCTAACCATCGCCTCACTCTCCCGACGGGCATTACTAGCTGATATAGGTGCAGGTTGCAAAAGAGTAAGTGGTGCCATGCCAAACAAAACATGGCCTCATCAATCCATGAAATCCCTGACGGTTAAACTGAGTCAGCAGGTAGGGAGGGAGATGCAGACTTCCGGGTTGGGGCCCGCCCTCAGGACTTTAAGAATCAATGGCTGGAGACAGACAATAGGTGACATGGCTCAAAATCGTTGTCAATGGACTTTCCACCATTACTCATTCTGTTTCACTCTTATACTTATCTAAATTCTATTGATCCTCTTCTCTCATTTTCCTGTCTATCTTTCTGTGCTATTTGGAACGTGGCAACTCGAGATGCTGCACTTTGGTGCCAAGTTCTATGTTGAATCCAGCAGCAGCAGCATTATTGATCATGAACTGACTGACATCAGCGTTAGAGAACCACTGGACAGCCAGCTGTTTCGTCAGCCTAGTTTGGGACCGGCTATTCAGCAGTACGACCCCACCTGACACTGACAGGGTTCGAACACACGACCACGTTCTGGTTACAAGACTAGCGAGCTAGCTCGTATACCATTGAGAAGCCACTGGGACCCGATCCAATGTCCAGCCAGTGCATGAATTCTAACTTCTACCAATTCGTGATGCATTTAGCGTGACTGGCACCAACCAATGTCGTCAGTGGGACATCCATCCTCACACGTGACATCTGGATGGATGGACCTCACTGGTCACGACTTCTCACTAGAACTGACTGACTCCAGGCAACTAACTCCATCCTGTCGCAAGTCACTCACTAGCGAGCATCAGATTAATTTTTTTATAGTTTGGTTTGTAAGGGTTAGTTATGTTTTTACGAGTTTGACCACGCACGAATTGATATCAGTTAAAGAACTGAAAACCTTCTGGGAGTACTGCCTTGTGACCGGAAGGTCCTGGGTTCGAACCCCGGTGTAATGGTGGGTGCGTACTGCCTATGATTCTTAAACTAGGCAGATGAAACAGCTGGCTGTCTAGCAGTATTCCCTGAGGCTAAATTTCAATCGTTCTCTAACTGACCGATATCAATCCGTGATTAACTCGTAAAACTAAACAAAACAAAATTAATCCTTACAAACCAAAACCATAGAAAATCATGGTTTTGCGATAGTTAGGATTATAGAATGATTGAAGATAGAATTAACTAATTATATTATAATTACATCTTAGTATTACATATACATTCAGTAGATTTAATGTAGAAGTTTCACATTTGGTCGGTCGGTCGGTCGGTTTTCGACATAGAACTTTGCACATATGTGCGGCAGTTCAAGTCGCCACACTCCCACCATGTAGCACACAAAGCAAGAGAAGAAAGTAGAAGAAATGCATAATATAGACAGTAAACAGAGGTGTGGTGAGACAAAGGAAAAGTAATAACGAAGAACAAAACAGTTTAATTTGAAATCATAAGTCACAAGGAGTGAATGCATCTGTGCCACTGAGAACGATTTTGAGCCATGTCACCAATTGTTTCCAACCTTCATTAGTTTTTACCGCCTCTAGGATGCCAACCAGTCAGGAAGCCAGTCTACACCTTCCTACGTGGCTGTCTGGCTTAGACTGACTGTTGTGGATTTCATTGACTGATGAAGCCTTATTTTCGTTTCACCGCCGCTAGCTCTCTTCCAGCCTGGCCCTATATCAGCTAACATTGCCCATTGTCGGGGAAGGCGATGACTAGTCATGCATACGTAACACATGTCCTAACCATCGGCCAGGAGAAGTTTGACATTACATTTCATACATGTTTGCCTCTGAACTGAGAAGAGAATTTATGTCTATAGAAGGGAAGAAGGGTGTAGTCTAACTGATATTTACACAGATCTGTCAGTCAGTCAGCCATCATCGTTATCAGTGACAGCAGATTTAATCGAACCTACTCCAACACACTCCAAATGCAGTGTTGAAGATATCCGCGGAAGCATGTAGTATCTCCTCAAAATAACCAATTTTTCCTCGAAATTTTATCACCTCACAACTTACTTTCCCCTTAATTATTTGAATAATGGCAAAAACCAACATATGGAGTGATCATATAGAGAATGGAAAAAAAAGTGAATTAATTATTCGCGGAGTGGCGGGTGGGGTGGCATTTTATTCGACCTTAATGTTGTCATTTTCTTGCCCTTTCATCTTTTACAAGTATTGTAGTTTTGTAGGGATTTTGTTTGATCGGATGGGATGGGATGGGATGGAGGATTTCATTATTGATCATGAGCTGATTGACATCAGCGTTAGAGAACCAACCACTGGAAGGAAAACCAACCAACCAGTGAGGGAGTACTGCCAGACAGACAGCCAGCCAACTGTTTCGTCAGTCTAGTATGGAACTGACTCTCCAGCACCAGCTCACCTTGTTACCAGAACGTGGCCTGGGTTCGAACCCTGGCTGCGGGGTGTGGTGGGTGTGTACTTTCTACTTCATTCACAAGGCGTATTGAAGGGTGATTTCTTATAGGCAGATTGAATCAGTCAGTGAGTAGCATTCGGTTAACAGTGCTATTTTTGTTTCCTTTTAACAAAAGTGTACTCACAAACTTTAATGTGCCTGTGAAATATGTATTGATTTTTATGTGTGTGTATATACAAGGATGAGGCTAAACGTGGTGTCATTGCATGCAGTGCTGGAAATCATGCCCTGGGATTGGCATACCATGGAAAGTTGTTGAATATCCCGGTGACTGTGATTATGCCTGAGAATGCCAGTGTCATGAAACGTGAACGATGCGCAAGTTTCGGTGGTCGTGTTCTCCTCAAAGGCAAGAATATGTTTGAAGTGAGTTTCCGAAGAACCGCACAAAAAGTGTTAATAATTTTCTCATTTTACAACAGTGTTACTGCATTGGTTGGTTAGTGGTCAACCTGCCTAATTTTATACCCTACTGACTTGCTTATTCATCAGTGGAACAATTCTGTGTTCTTTTGGATTTCAACGTTTCACACTTCAATGTCTAGGTAGGAAATATTTTTCTCCAATATGGATAAGCTTTTATTTTGATAAACTGTCACACACAGTGTGTGTGTAGTGTTATACAGTAAGTAATATTAACTGATGCGACCACACGACGCTTCGAGCACAATTTATTATTGCCACTCATAATCATCATATCAAGTCAGTCAGTCACTCACTCACTCACACAACTTTCGTCTTCCTTCATTTATATACATGAGTGGAATTCATGATTAGACATTTGAATACAAATCAGTAATATGGGATAATGTACAGTCAGAAATAATAATAATATGGGTGTTATTGATCAATTACAATCAGATGGGAAATAAGACGAGTGGCCTTTCTATAGTCATACTAAGTAACTTTTTAGAATGTTGTGATGTACGTGAATTGAATTGAAATAGAATACAATTTAAGATTATTTATTATCCTCCTGTGATTTCACCGACTGACTGACTGGTGGTAATAATATCTTCCATGGATATCTCTGGTATTTGCATTGAGTCATTTCTGTTGAATATGTTGTGTGTAGACTGGATGAACCAGGCAGGATTCAGTAATCAACCTCTCTCTCTCTCTCTCACTCCACCTACATAGATTACTTCTTAGAATTTCAACCCTCTCCCACCATGCTATTGTGCGTTTCTGTGTTAATGCATTCATGCAGTGCAATGTAGTGCTGATCATTTTTCTAAATTACTTATCTTCTCGAGTGGGGTCAACCATTCTTACCTTAGCCACTAAATTCTTATGTTCCGACAATCTGATTACCCCCGATCTACTAGTTTGACCTATATAGTTGACCTAGGTGACAGTCATTGCAAGGTATTGTGTAAATTATATTATTTTATTTGGATAGCGTTATACGAAGAAGGAGATTATCTGAAAAACAATGTAATGTGATGTATTTGAGCTATACATTTCGAACAATCTGATCACACATTAACTTGGCAAGTCTATAAATGAATGAAAAAGTTAAATTAAACAAAGAGACAAAAAAAGGATTTAAGAATGATTAACACAACGTTTGTTAATCCAATCAAATAAGGAGTACCAAGTTAGGTTGGTTAAGAGTCATATTCAAAAACAGTTTATTATTACTCCTAACCTAATTTGGTAATCCTTATTTGGTTGGATTATCAAACGTTGTGTTAATCATTCTTAAATCCTTCTTTTTGTCACTTTGTTTAATTCAACATTTTCATGTATATATCGACTTGACAAGTAAATGTGTGGCGGATCAGATTGTTCGAAATGTATAGCGAAAATACATCGCATCACATTGTTTTTGAGACAGTAAGTGAAACGAACAAAGCCCCTAGAACCAAGAAGACCGAAGCAACTTCAGTCGCAAGTCTTTGACGATGGGGTGATTTTGTTGAGGGCTCTCTGCTATGCAAAATTGATAGACAGTAATTTACGTCGATGTTGTTGATGTCCCAAATATTGGTCATGCGAAGGAAACAAGAACAAGAACAAAGACTGACTGACTCAACCAACAACCAATCACAGAACACTTTGTTTGCGTAGGTGGATACAATAAGCAGATAGATAGATGATCTGACCTTGAAGAAACAGGCAGAAAGAGTAACAACCAATCAGAAGACTGTGTTTGTCTGCTAACAATAATCGATATCAATATATGTTCATGAAAATCGATATATATGTAATTGTGTTGATTTCCTTAATAAGCGATCTGTTTCCTGGCCCTTGTCTTCTGTTGTTACTATCCTTCTAATATCAGGGAATTAAGCGTAATTCATCTGGGTCGACAGTCGGTCTATGATGACTTCGAAAAGTAAAGAAGATATTTATCATACACAGTGTGTGATATGCCATATTTTTACCGGTTAAAAAGAAAACATAATACAACTTACATTTGCCTTGTTTTATTAATTGGAAACGTGATCATGACTCTTCTACAATCTTCTTCAAGGAATTAACTGTTCTTCTTTGCCTCTGATTTGTGTATTTTTGCGTAATCCGTAAAATCTGCAGCTGCTGCTGCTGATGAGGAGAACCGATGAAATCAAAAATGGATCCAGATTATTCTGCGCGCGCCAATGTTTCTTCTTTCTTTTTTTCCTTGTTCAAATTTATACACAAAAAGGGAATCTCATTGTATGAAATTGGCACTTTTATTCAAGATTATAATAATCTTGAACGCTTCCCTAACTTCTAAAATGCTAAAATATATTTGCTAACCCTTAAAATATTTGCCACACACTGTTGAAATTGAAATCCTACACAGGTTGATCATGTGATCATGTGTGTGAGATTCGATCCATTCGGCAGTGAAGTCATTGATCACCACGTGTAGTGTGGTGTGTAGTTAACGTGAGATTCATACCAAGTATTGTCAGATTTATGCTATTTGTGTGTGTGTGTGTGTACATGAGGTTTGTCAAGTTTAGATAATTGATCAGGTAATCAGGTAGGTAATACAAGAATGATCCCAGAATATAGAAACAAGGTTGGTTAATCAGACAGCAACTACAGTAAGATTGAGTTAGTTAGTTCGTTGGTTGGTTGGTAAGATGATGACTTAATAGAATTGACTGAAATGTTTCAACTTAAGTCAGGGTAGCAAGACAGGTAATTACAGGTAGAGAGAGACTAAGTGTTAGAGATTAATGCTATTTAAATTAGAACTGAAATTGAGCAAATAAGTTGGATGACGTAACATAAATGACTAGAAATTGAGCTTTGGTCAGGTCAGGAACAGTGGTAATGAGGTGTAGAAATTAAATCGGGTGGGGGTAGAGAACAAGAAGGTTGAAAATGTAAAATATTACAATTGAGAAGACAAAATAATACTAACGAAGAGACAGAAGAGAAAAAAATTAAGTAGAATTTACCTGTCGGGTGATAAGATAGATTACTTCCATCGCAAGTGTAGCGATTGAACGAACTTCTTCTGTATGCAGAGGTCAGGACTAAGCAAGTGAATCGTCATTGCTTCTGCAGTTTGAAGAAGTCTGATGATTCGTACACCTTCAGGAAGACTACTTCGTATTCTGTAGACGACTTCGAAGTTTTTTCAGGTGTAGCTCGCTGTCCAGAATCTATCAGATGTTCTAAGATAGAGCTCGATTGGGGGGCATCGTTTTTCTCTTTTGTAAAACCATGTCGATAAGTGTTCAGTGATACGTTTGGAAAGCGAACGCTGGGTACAGCCGACATACCTGGCTCCACACGAGCAGGTGAATTGATAAATACACACATTGATGAGGCCAGTCGGCAGTGGTAGCTTATCCTTCACATTCACATGAATCATAGCTTTTTTGGAGAAGGTTGGTCGTAGTTCAGCTGCGAAGAAGGTTTTCTTAAGTGAGCGCGACAGTCGATTTTTCAGTGTTTCCGCAGATATATCTCCATTGAATTGAAGGTTCATGTAGAGTAGTTATTTTAGGGACGCTAAGCGTGGGCGGCTTCTGCGGTCTAGGATTCATGGATTTTACAATAAATCGTTTTGGATAACAATTCTCGACGAGGATTCTCTTGAGATTGCTATACAATAGTGGGGGGAGGGGATGTAGGCTGCTGCATAAATATTTCTTCAGAACTTCCAATCAATATCTGTGGACATTATTTGATGAATAAGCACCAAGTATCGATTTCTGGCTCTCAAAATGCATCTAAGTGTGTGTGTGTGGGGGGGATTTCCCTTTCACACTGTTAATTCTGGATTGAAAGAACGAAAACAAGATAATTGGTGAGAGAGAAAAAACTGCCGTCGAAAGCACCTCTATATACCACACAACATCTGCTCTTGTGGAGCAAGATACATTGGCTGTAGTCAGAGGACGCCGCTTTCCACCGCACGGATACGAGAACATATTCCAACAGCATGGTTTTACAAGGGAGAAAGGAAGTGTGTGTGTGTGTGCGAAGTGCTCTATTCTGGAACACCTGATCGACTCCTGTCACTCCACACCAACCCTGACCATGATTTTAAGATCATCATCTACAGAATCCATGCTAACATGCTGGCCGCGTTTTCTTCGTTATAGACTTCTAAAGACAGCAGAGGCCTTGGCAATTCATGACTTTAAGCCAGCCAGACAGGTCTTTGTGTATAAAAGAAGTCAGTACAATACCTACTTCAGCCTTGGCCGTAGAGGGATAAACATTTATTTATTTTGTTTACTTAGTTATTCTATGTACTTTTCCCTTATTACTACGATTATTATAATCATTATTATTATTACTATTCTCACTCTGAATTGTTCCCACTTGTCCCACTTGTCATTCTGAACCCAAAATTATTAATTTTTTATATTTTTTTTTTACTTTTACAATATTGAATTCTATCTTATCAAATTTCACACCATGTTATGTAACATTTCATATTCGCTTGCTAATCCTATAATTATGCACCCCATTCCAACAACATCTATACACCTTATGTATTATTCTATATACGACATTAATTATTTTTAAAACAATTGGTGTTCCCTTTATGAATTCAGTCAGATAAAGCAGCAATAAGAAGGAAGACGTAATTTGTCTGTCTGAATCGTGTGTGTGTGTGTGTGTGTGTAATGTGCATATTTGCGCGCACAACACACATTTCGAACAATCTGATCCATCACACACACACACACACGGACTTGTCATAGGAGTACATATATGCATGAAATTAATAAAGAGTGAGTTAAGAGGTGAGTGAGAAAACAGACTTGACTACTTAGGTCAAGTTAAAAGGAGTATATATTGAAGGTCACAATAACAATGAAGATCAATCACTTAAAACCAAATAACAGTGGTAATAGTACATCTACCCTGGTTGATATCAAAACAAAGTTTACCATCAAGGAAGG